CCTTCTTTGCTTGTTCCCCAGCCACGGTGCACAGTCCGCGCAGTCCCTGGCTGGCAGGGTGATTTTTAGGTTAATTCTTAGGTCCTACCACCAGTCAGGGATCTCCGAGCCGCCTGTACTGTCAAGGTCACTCAGTTCGCCATCAGACTGCAGCTCCGTAGGTCTCCTTTTTTTGGTATTTTTCACGCAAATTCTTCTGCTAGTTGGGGTTTAGTCCAATTCTGCATCCTTCCCTTCAATGCTCAGGGGTCCAAGATTATCTTCTGTGTCTGTGTTAATTGGTTTCCCTTTTCTTTGTTGAAGAGGGTCTGTGCAATCCTTCTGCCTAGTCCGCCATCTTGCCGACCCCTGATCTGCCTGATTCATTGATTCTTCCCTGTCTGAGGTTCCTTGCTCCTTTCCACTGCTCTTTGATTCACAGTTCTTCGAAGCTAAGCCCCATATTCTTGTTGTATTTGTGAGCGAGGGTCAGAATGATGGTCTGTTTATGCCACCATCTTCCCAGAATTCTCCAGAAAGGTGGATTTTAAAAATACCTGTGAAGTTGTCAGCCTGTTATAAATGAAGTTTGGTAATTAACCTTGTTGAGCTGGAAATACACTCCTGCTGTTATGTTATTGTTATGTACCGTTGAGTCAGCCCCAACTCATAGTAACCCCTCCTTGGGTTTCTGAGGTGGTATCACTAGGGAAGTAGATTGCTCAACCTTCCTTCCGAGGAGTGGCTGGTGGGTTTGAACCACCAACCTTCTGGTTAGCAGTCAAATGCCTTCGGCACTATGCTAACACACTTCTGTTAGTCAGCTGGAAAGTTTGAATCAGGTACTTGTCAGTTCAGAATGAGCTCTCAGGAGAGAGATCTAATCTGAAGGTACAGGTGTGGGGATCACTCCCACTGAGGTTGAAAACATGGATACTGTATCTGTGAGAATGTCCAAGGAGTGAAGAGAAAAAGACTATGAATGGATCCTTGGGCCATATCCTCATAAAAGCAGCTGGAAGAACAAGAAGAAGAACAACTACCAAGTTTCTAATGTCTGTCTTGACATGATCTATATGTATACATTTCTTCTGTATATTTCTTTAGCTACATAAAACTCCATTGAATTTACCCTTGTAGTAATTCTGTGTGCAAAATACCTGGATGTTTCTTGCTTGACCTTGAGAAATCAAAACAGTATTCTGGAAAGAATTTCAAGCAAAATAAGGATGAGCTGGTTCAGAAAATCTACAAGCTCTTTAACAGCTCCGTCTTTGATAAAAAGGTATGATTAATAAATGTGTATATTTAAATATGACCAGAACTCATGGGTGCTATGTGGTACAGACATGCTAACCATGTTCATTTACTGCCCGTAAGAAGTGTCAGTTTAAATGGAAAGGTGAGATATGCATATATAAATGTAGAAACCATTATTACCACAGGAGATCAGCAGGGGGAGAAATCACTGAGAGATTGAGGAGTCAGGAAAGAGGACTGCCTGGGGTAAATGAGAATTGTTCTGGTTCTTGAAGACTAATCAGTGGGGAGAACAGCAATAATAGGGAAGACAGCATGTTTTGAGGCTTGATTATCTGAAAAAGAGGATTCATGGTAAAGAATAATGGGAAAGAGCTCTTTGACTTTATTAAACTCTATCCCAATTTCTTCATCTGTAAAATGGGGACAACAACACTTACTACTTCATCGAATTATTGTTAAGCTTAAGTAAGTTAATAAACATAAAGCGCTTAGACCAGCGGCTAGGACGTAGTAAGTGATACATGCTAGCTTTTTTTATATTTGATAGCATAGACCCAGATAATGGAGAGCTTAGAATATCGGATAGGAGGATCTTTTAAATTTAAGTCAGTAGGCACTGCAGCACAGGGATTTGCTGAGGCATGATGTCGCTATTCAAAGAGATTGATCTGCAGTGCAGGAGATCCTGAATAGAGTGGGAGAACAATGTGGAACAAAGCTCAAAATCATAAAAAAGAACAGGCTTACTGGTGTGATAGTGCCTGCTGAGACCCCCGAGTCTATGGTCCCTAGTTTCCCTCCAGGTCTGAAAGTGAACTTACTCTCATGGCTACCAGTCAAACAATAGACAGGCATAGAGGGTGAACATTTACATCAGGTAGATACACTTCTTAGAGAAATGAGTGGATTGGAGAACAGAAGGGCAGTGTTTACACAGGGAGATAGCTGGGGGGTGGGGTGGGCAGGAATGCGTAGGAAGGAAGGACACAGGGAAGAGGTAATTACAGGGAAGAAGTGGGAAGAGAGCTGTTATATTGTGGGGAATTGCAGTCAATGTCATGAAATAAAATGTATATAAATTGCTGTATAGAAAATGAATTTGCTCTGTAAACTTTCACCCAAATTGCAATTTAAAAAAAAAAAAGAGAGATAAAGAGAGAGATTCATCTGCCAGTAGCATGGGATATGGCCTGGTTGGAGAGAATCTGGAGGAAATGGGCTTTTTGGTCATTAGATTTTTCAGACTATTGTCTCTGGTGACAAAATTCTCTGCAAGGAAAGTTCCTGTATCTTCCTAATGGTTTCCCAGCCTTTGGTGCTCTTCGATGACAGTGGTGTTACATCAAATGACTGATTAGCAGGACCTGAAGTGTTCTGAGTTGTATTTTCAATTTTGCTTCACCAGTGTTATGCATAGGCTTGGGTCCCACCTCAGCAAGCTGTTCCAGACTGTTTTGTCCCCATGCAAGGGACCACAAATCCTGCAAAACTCTCCCTTGTGTCCTGATTGCCTACCAGTTGTCTTTACCTAGGCTTCAACTTGGCTTATATTCAGTCCTACACTGTTGAGATTTGTGTGCCCTTTGAATACATTTCTTCTCAAAATCAAAAAAAGCCAAGGACATGGGGGAGAAAAAATTCCTCTTATTTTTTATTAGAGAGAGAAAAACTGTTGAATTAGTGTTTTATCTTCTGCTTATAACTTCTTTCTGACTTATTCCATTTGCTTTTTGTTGTCAGCTGCCAGAGAAAATAGATATTCGCTGGAATAAAAAGATGCTTAGAACTGCTGGCTTATGCACAACTGGTGAGACAAATAACCCGAAGAAGGAGCGCTACGCCAAGATTGAGATTGCTCTAAAAGTCTGTGACTCTGCAGGTGATAGCAGGGACAGGGCAGCTTTACTGCCACGTGTTTACTTTTGAGACATTGTTCAATTGTTCTTTGATGCTGATATTATCTGACAGCCTGTGTTACAGCTTTAACTGTTATTCCTGTGTGGACAGGCTTACTGTCTGTTGCTCATAGGACATTATTATTAGATGGCTCACCACCTCTGAAAATCCAACTCATCAATCTCTACTAGGCTTGACCTCCACTCTTCATTGCCCTAACCAAATCCCATGACTACTGTGATTGCTCCCCACTCTGTACACTTATGTTCACAAAGGGCAGAAACTGTATTTCATATGGCTAGCAGTGCTCCACAAAAAGATGAGCACGGTGAAGCTGCTCTTAAAAGACTTGCTGAATATAGGTAATTGACCTAAGGTTCTCTACTGTTCATGAAATCAGATTGAAATTGGTGGAAATTTCATTTTCAAAATCCTGGGAACTATCACTCATGCCTATCTGCATATGCTTATGTAAGGAATCTTTGTGCCTGAGTTAAGAATCTAGAGGTTGTTGAGTAGCAGACTAGAAGAGAATTGGTTAAAGTGCTCATAGTTTCTTTTCATTCTTCTTCCAAGATCGACTCCGGGATACTTTGATCCATGAAATATGCCATGCAGCTTCCTGGCTACTCGATGGTGTCCGAGATTCTCATGGTGACACATGGAAGTATTATGCCAACAAATCCAATATGGTACACCCAGAACTGCCCAAGGTCACCCGCTGCCATAACTATAAGATTAACTACAGGATTCATTATGAATGTACTCAGTGCAAATCCAGGTAAGACCTTTCTCCTCAGGCATTTTCCTATTATGCTGTCACTGCAGCCTACAAGAGGCTCTTCAGTGATTTTATTAGATGGATGGTGGCGTAGTGCCTAAGGCATTTGACTGCTAACCAGAAGGGTGATGGTTCAAACTCACCAGCCACTCCTTGGAATGAAGACTAGGCAATCTATTTCCTTAGAGATACTGCCTCGGAAACCCAAGGAGGGGCCATTATGAGTTGGATCTGCCTCAATGGCAATGAGTTTTTTTATCTGACTTGAGGAGTAAAATCACTCTGCCCCTTTCCATGTTCTCTGTCTCCATTATTTCCCCTAACTTGAGCCTGACTGACTACTGCCACTTCTTGGTGTTCCATAGAAAATTCATACTTTGGGCCCAAGGCCAACAGCTCAGAGATGATGTTGAAGTAGAGTGATTGACTTCTTTTTTTGTGGTATCTCTTTCCTTCCTAGAGTTGGCCGCTACACCAGATCATTGAACACTGAACACTTTATTTGTGGTAGATGCAGAGGCTCTCTGGTTGTGCTGCCATTAACTCGCAAAGATGGAGCTCCCATTAAGCCTCATGTAAGACCATTTGCCAAATATGTGCAAGAGAATTACAGAATAGTTAAACAGGAGATGGCAGGGAAGGGCCATGGTGATGTGATGAAAAAGCTCAGCAAGGATTATGTTGCAAGTAAACAAAACCAAGGTCGCTGAGGTTACCGGAGAGTAGATTTATGTGAACAGAGCCCTCTTTTGGTAAGAAGCATTAAAAAAAAAAAAAAAAAAAATCTCTGTTTCTATGAAGTAGCAAATATTAGAGGTTAAATACTATTTTGAGGTTCATGTTATTAATGATGATTGTTCTTAACTAGGGATCCTATTGCTGACCATTTTGTTGCCTTAATAGTACTCTGAAGCCCTCTTGGATCAATCCTAGGTCTTAGTTTGACTCCATAGTTTTAAATGAGATTTGAAAGTGACAGGTTGAGAATAATGCTAGAAAGAGAACAAGCTTTAAAGGTAGCCCTACAAAATAAGGCTGTTCTCAGATGTAATCTGTTATACTTACCTTGAAATAAAAGACAAATGTGTTTCATGAATTTAGTTGCTGTTGATGAAGAATGAAGCCATCTGAGCCATGTAATTGTTCACAAAATAAAGTGTTTTCTGCATTTCACTTGTTGGAGAGTTTGCTGATTGACTCCCTGTCCCAAGAGCAGAACAAAGTCACCCCCATTTGAGGTGGCAATTTTTTTAAAAATTTTTATTGTGATTTGGGTGAAAGTTTACAGAGTAAATTCATTTTCCATATAGCAATTTATATACATTTTTTTCCCCATGACATTGACTGCAATTCCTCATAATGTAAGAGCTCACTTCCCACTTCCTCCCTGTAGTGACCTCTTCCCTGTGTTCTTCTTTCCTATGCATTGAGTCTTTTGTCTGAAACCCTGGACATCTGACGTGTTTCAAGATTTGTTTAGAGCAATCTCCATTTTGTTTTTCCAATTTTTGTGACTGCCCATAAGTATGTCAGCAGCCTCTCTACTTCTAGGAAATAGCCAGGATGTAGACTGGAATCAACATTATTTTAATCTCCTACTGCTGTTGTAACAAATTTCTACAAATCCAGTGGCTAAAGACCACACATATTTATCTTATGTCTCTGTAGATCATAAGTCCATCACAGGACGCACTGGACTAAAATCAAAGTATTGGCAGGGCTGTGTATCTTTCTGGAAGCTCTAGGGGAAAATCCAATCCCTTTTCTTTTCCAGCTTCCAGAGGTCACCTTCATTCCTTAGCTCATGACCACTTCCTCCCTCTTCCAAGCCAGCAACCTACTGTCTCTGATTCTGCTTCCAGGGTCACATCTCTTTCTCTGACTTTATCTTCTCTCCTGCCTCATGCTTTCACTTTTAAGGACCTTTGTGATCACATTGCACCCACCTGGATAATCTAGGATAATCTTATTTATTGGAGGAATAATAAGATTATTTTAAGGCCAAGTGATTAGCAATCTTAATTCCCTTTTGCCATGTAAAGTAACATGTTCACAAATTTCAGGCTTTAGGATGTGGGCATCTTTGAAAAACCATTTATTCTACCTAGCACAAACATCTTTGCTAGTCCAGCATCACTGATAATGCTTACAGGCAGGTTGCACTGTTTGTTGGATGTGTTATGTGGTCTTCCCTCCTTCATTTTCCAGATGCTTAGAGTATTCTTTTAGTGGCCACAAGTTGAATCCTAAGCACAGGCTGGATGGGATTGGGTGTGTGCATAAGGTAGGACAAGCTTCCCTAGCTAAATCCTCTAATTCCTCCACCCCGTTGCCACCTCCAGCCTACCTGCAGCCTCAGCAAGGGCCCAGCCAGTTTGTGAAACTAGACCATGGCACATTGGCGACCTCATAGTGTTAACTGATGTTGTGGTGGATCTACCTCTGAAAAGGAAAGGTTGGGCCCACTGCCTTAACTCAGTAGTCCTGTCACTTGCCCTTCTGGGAAGCCCTGGTTATTTCCTCCACTTATTTCAACCTCAGCTATAGTCGTGGAAACATACTTCCCATAGCCCACCCGTGCTTCCAGGTGGCCCAAGTGCTTATTACTTTTGGCAAGTTACCTAACCTTCTGGCTTTTCATCAATCCTGCTGACATTTGCCTGCATTACCTCTCACCTGAATAACCACTATAGGTTTCTAACTGTTCTCTATGACACCATCAGCTTCTTCCAAACCAACTTTGATTGAGTCTTATTTTCACCCTTCTCCTACCCGAACCCTTAACTTTAGCCACTTTGTTGTTGTTGTTATGTGCCGTTGAGTTGGCCCCAACTCATAGCAACCCCTCCTTGGGTTTCCAAGGCGGTATCACTATGGAAGTAGGAATGCCCAACCTTCCTTCCAAGGAGTGGCTGGTGGGTTTGAACTGCCAGCCTTCTGGTTAGCAGTCAAGTGCCTTAGGCACTAGCCACTTAGGACAAGTTATAATTCCTCAAGTAAACATTGCTGTTTTCAGGCTTCTCTCTACTAGAAACAGTCTTTCCTTCTCTTTACTTTTGGAAATACTGTCCACCCTTTCAGGTCTGTTCAGTTCTGTCTTCAGGATAACTTCCCAAATGGCTCTGAATCCCTGTGTTTATTGTCTATATGCTTCCGCCTCATAAAAAAATTGCTTGATATTTCTAGTTCTTGCTACTTCTTCCCTATTAACTTCTGCTCCTCCCTTTTGGAGCACAGGACTATGTCTTATTTATGGCTGAAAGCTCTTTTCCCAAATTATGCCTAAACAGTACCCAGCCAACCAGTTGGCCAAGTGCTTACCCTGTGCCAATGTGTCTGGGTGTTTCCCTGTGGCTAAAAGGAGTGACCATGAGGCCAAGAAGACTGCAGACAGGTATTCACAGAGGCAGGGTGAGTTGGTCCAGACCCAGGGCCAGGTAGGGGAGAAGCAGCAAGTGCATTTTCAGAGCCCAGGCAGGGCTGGCTGTAATGACGCACTCCACTCACACACCCTGGTCCTGATGAGCTTGTTTATTGAAAAGTTTTAAGCAGAATTTTAGACATAAAAACAAAAGTGAGCAAATACAGAGGTGCTGGGAATCATAGTCACAATTACTACAGAGCAGGAGGTCTGGGCCAAGGCCCCATAAGGGTAGCTTCCTCTGTGTTGTTTGCATGTGGAGAAGGCCAAGTTTCAGTTACTGAATTAGAAGTACATTGGGGTTCCAGGCAACCAACTTAGCTGGGCTGGAAGGTAGCCACCTCTGAAGCAGTAGTAGTGAGAGTGCCAGGATCCTCAGAAGGTAGGATCCTGGAGTGTGGGTGGAATCAGGTTGGGTGGGTGAAAGAGAAGCCCCCACTTCCAGCCTCATAAGCCCGAATAGGAGGCCTCTGTAGTCTCTGACCAGGATGAATCCCGGTAAGAAGAAGGCTGCTGTTGGTTCCTTCTATGGTCAGGGCAACCCAGGCGCATAAGCAGCACCCACATACGTTCCCGGAACTTGACACCCACAAAGGCATACAACAGTGGGTTGAGGCAGCAATGCATATAGCCCAAGCCTGAGGTGACTGACTTGGCCACATCAACATGACTTTCTCGCCCACAGTTGCGGGCTAAGGCCCCCAAGTCCATAAGGGTATCTACCAGCACTACCAGGTGATAGGGGGTCCAGCAGAGGGCAAAGGCCACCACTACTACCACCACTAGCCGCATAGCTCGTAGCCGCCGTCGGCCCCTGGAAACCAGCAGCACAGCCAGGATGCGGGCATAGCAGTAGGCCATGACCAGGAGGGGCAGCAGAAAACCAGCAACCAGCTGCAGCATTCGCAGAGCTGTGCGGCCCACCTGAGGGAAACTGTACTGGCAGTGGGTAGCATTGAGGCGCTTATCATGGTGGGCTGACAGGAAGATCAGTTCTGGGAGGGCAAAGAGCAGACAGAGCCCCCAGACCACTATACAGGTGAGGGCCACACGGGTTGGGGGCCCCCGGCGGTAGAGCTGGGTGGCATGCACTATGCTCAGGTAGCGGTCAAAGCTGATGCAGGCCAACAGGAGGGCCCCTGCATAGAAGTTGATGTTGAAGAGGGCACCTGCCACTTTGCACAGGCCAGAGCCAAAGACCCACTGGACAGCAGCATCCACTGCCCAGAGAGGGAGGGTGAGCACTAGCAGTGAGTCTGCCACAGCCAGGTGAAGCAGGAAGGTGTCAGTGCTGCTCAGGGCTGCCCGTTGGCTCAGCAGCACGGTTGCCACTGCACCATTGCCCAGCAGCCCCAGCAGAAAAAGGAGGCCGTAGAGGGCTGGCAGGAAGGCCCGGTCAAAGTTCAGGCTGACATCCTGTGGGCAGGGTGGGGAGGCACAGCAGGAATCCGTCTCGTTTTCTTCATAGTAATAGGAAGAGCTACAGTTTTCCAGGAGGAAGGCCAAATCAGAGGCATCTAGCACTTGTTTGCTCATCTGTGGAGGGAGAGGGGGAGGGACTGTGTAAAGGCCTTTGCAGTCATTCCTTTGCAACAGTCTGATGAGTGGTTTTTGAGGACAGCTCCCCTATAAGGCAAGCCCTGTAACTATCCACCTCTTTCTTCCACCTGAACCCCATCTGAGCTCTGCGATGCTAACTTCCCTTCTCAAAGGTGGCTTCTCGCTCAACTTTCTGGGCCATCCTCTGGCCCAAAGACCCTCCTGTGCCAAGAACTCCCCCTACACTCTCTCCTCTCTCTCCCTGCTCTTCCCTCACTTTCTGGCTGGTCTGTGCTGTGGCCATGCCTAGTTCAGGTCACACAGATGCCTCCCCATAGTCCCTTCTTCAGCTGTTGTCTGGGGACCCCAACTTCCTGCTCCTTATGGGGGGCTTTCTACAAATCACTGCAGCTCCAAAACACATAATTTCTGCCCTAGTCCTTTCCCATCCTCCACAAAGAGGCTTGCATACTGAAGGTTTCCCTACCCAGCTCCAGTGGAAATATTCCTTACTTTCTCACTTATCCCAGAGTTGCAGGCCTCCCCAGTGCCAATTCAATCCAGTGTATAAAACTCAAAGTTCAAAGTCAGAGCTGAAGGGAGCCTTATAGGTCATTGAGATTGAGCCTCTAACCCCTGCGTGTTTGCAGCTGCAACCAAAGTCAGACCGGGGGAAGGCTTGTCCATAGTCTTATTTCAAGTCAGACAGAGCCCCCAGGCCACTATGCAGGTTAGGACCACATGGGTTGGGGGCCCCCGGCAGTAGTGCTGGGTGGCATGCACTATGCTCAGGTAGTGGTCAAAGTCGATGCAGGCCAACAGGAGGACCCCTGGACAGAAGTTGATGTTGAAGAGGGCACCTCTTTAACAACCAAGTCAGCCAAGCTGACTTCCCAATTCCTCATCCAATGCTTCTTCCACCCCAAGCTCTGCAGCCTCTGACTACTCACCCAACCTTTTGGAAGCCCTGGGTTGTGAGTCAGCCTTGACATTTCCCTGCTGTCCTGCACTCACCCTCAGAGCTGTGGCCTGCCAGGCTAGGCAGTAGAACTTACCTCGGGGACCGTGGCTGGGCTGGTGCTCTGGCAGCTACCTGCCTCTCTGCTTGGGTGCTTGTGGTTGGGAACCTGTGCTACACAGAGGAAGTGAGGGTTTCGCGTGGCTCACAACAGCAGCCTCTTCGATGGGGTGATCTATGCCAGACCTATTGAGACTCAAGGCCACAAAAGTCCTTTTCCTTGTCACTTCCCTGGCTGAGTGAAGCTGCTGTGGAGGGGGTGGTGACAGGCCTGAGGGCAGAAAATCTGGGCCTGAGGGAAGTACAGGGAGTGGTTGGGAAGAGGAAGGTTCTCTGAGGGGTGAAGAAAAGCCACACAGCTAGGACAGGAAGGGAAGCTCTAATCTGCTAGGTGCCATATTGGCTTCCCTTGCACTGGCTTGGTCTGTGCTCAAGAAATTGGAATTTGTGCTCATTTGTCCTGGGCTAGAGTTGATTGTAAAGACTGGATTGCTAAATGGGTTAAGTCTATAAATGAGAATAACCCAAAAACAATGATAATATTAGAAGGAATCTAGTACATTAAAACTAGGCTTTCCCCATCCACCCTCCCCACTAATCTGCAGGAAAAAGGAAAGGGACCTATTAGTTAAGAACTGACTATGTGCTTGGTGCTATTTTAAGTGTCCTCCCTGGCAGTGACTCATTCCAACCACACTATTTACCCTGTGAGATAGGGTAATACCCCTGTAGTGCTGATGAAACAGACCCAGAAAGGGGAAAGTCTGCACACACAAGAAGTAAGGGTGCATTACACTGCCTTCAATTTTTTTAATGGATAAACAGTGATATATTCCTTCAATTAAAAGGAAATCAAATAAAGCTACATAATTTAACATGGCTATGTCTTGAAAAGCCAATGAATGTATAGTGGATAGAGAGGGGAGAAGTTACAGAACACCATGAATAGTTTGACACCACTTATGTAAATTCTAAAACCACACACACACACACACAAATACCATTTTGTTTTGGATACATGTATTCATCCTAATAGTTTAAAAACAAGGACTGGAGACACCACACATTTAGGAGAGCAGTTGTTTCTGGAGCAAGAAGAGGAATGGGATTTGGGAGAAGTATGTAGGGACCTCACAATTTTCAGGAAAAGCTGTAAAACAGCATCTTTACATCATAGCAGTAACAGTTATGACTGAGGGGTGTGGCAGTTCTTCTCCCAAGAAGTTTTCCCCTTTGTTGTCTTCTCCACTGTCCCCAGTTGAAAAGGGGTGTGCCATGGCATTAGGGTCCAGTTTGCTGCCAGACTGCTTCACCAAAGCCTCCAGGCTCATGTCTGGATCTCAGTTCTAACTAATTGACAAGATGTGTGCTTGTAAGGAATCCAAGCCTTTCCTCTCCTTCCGTCGTGGCTGTGGACAGAAGATGTGGTCATCGTTGCTCAGAAACCATTTATCACTTGCAGGGTCCAGGCCAGAGGAAACTGAGGGCCTAGAGGAGGTTAGGAACTGTGCAAGTGGAGAAGAGGAGTGAGTTCCAGAAACCATGCCAGTTAGGATTGGTAGAACATAACATGTGACATCTGTGGGGATGAGGTAGGGGGAGGGGAATCTGGACCATGGTTTACCAATGTTGGTCTGTGAAGAGGTTTGATTTCACTAGGCTTTTACAAATGAGGAAAACAAGAACAACAAAAAGCTAAATTTGTTCAATTTAAAGGATGGTCTTGTATTCTGCAATTATGTTCTTTTTTGGTATTTTTTTTTTTTTTGAATGAGATAATGGTAAGAATAGATGGTAGTTTTGAAAATATCTTGCAACCTAATGTGGCAACCTAATGTGAATCTTCCAAATATATGTTCAAATTTTACTGGTTCATATGAAATATAAGGAGATTGAGTGACACAAGTGGTTTGCCATCGGCTGATAACATAAAGGTTGATGACTTGAACACACCTAGTGGCTCTGCAGAAGAAAATCCTGGTGATCTGATGACAGCCAAAAAATTCTATGGAGCAGCTCTACTCTGTAACACATAAGGTCTCCATGAGTTGGGGGCCAACTTGATGGCAGCTAACAACAACATGTGAAATATAGAAGTTTAGGAATCACTGGTCTCCTTCCTGTGACCCAGCCCCCTCATTTGTCACATGGGAATAATAAATGAGAGAAAGTCAGGGCAAGGGCTTTGGAAAGGTGCAGAGAGCTTTCCTTTCCAAGTGTCCTGTTTTCCTGATATGTTGGCCTGGGCTGTGGGCATAGGCTTCTCTCACTGCTCTTGATGTCATTGTGTTGTGCAGGGAAGAACACTGAAATTTTCTGGGCTCCAGCCCTGATGCCATCATGTTCCAGTTGTGCAACCTTGGAAAAATTTCATAACCTTTTTGAGCTGGTTTTCTTATCAGGGTTCTTATAAGATGTATGGAAATAATCAAGGCTGTAACATTCCTATCACAAGAGGCAGCACTTAGGAGCATAGTTGAGAACACTGAGTGAGAGGGATATTGGCTGCAAATCTAAAGCCCCTGGGATCCTCTCATGGCATTCACACTTAGGACAGAGTGTGATGCCTTGTTAGGGATGTAGGTGTGGGCTTGGGCTGAGGGCTGACCTTCCAGAAAGTTTGCTTCTTGGGTTAGCTGGGAGGGTTTGACCAGTCCTAGCCTAATCCTCTGGCTGCCTAGCTGTGTGAGCTTGGGCAAATCATTTCACCTCTCTCTTTGCCTCAGTTTCTTCATCTGAAAAATGGGCTGAAGGATAGTACGTATTGGATAGGGTTGTGCTGTGGACTGCAAACAAAAGCGTGTATAAAGTATCTGGCACAGGGTAAGGGCCCAGTGAGAAGGAGTTTATTACCCATTTAGAAACTTTCCAAACTAAACCCTTTCAGGCCTCATAATTGTAGATCTGCAGTGGGCTACACCCAAGATGCCTTGGAAGATTCCTATGCCATGAGGCTGAATCAAGCCCTTATCTGGCTCTTTAATTTGGCCCTCTCCAGTCTCGAGCAGCCCCAGGCCATGTCAGAGCTCTTGGGGAGACCCACCTAGCCAGGGGTCTGCAATCTGGGTTCTGGCAGATGCACCCTTCTGCTCCTCCCTCCAGAGCAACCAGCAGCAGGGAAGCTTGAGGAGGAAGTTAGTCAGAGTGAAGTTGCTTGTGGTCAAGGTGTGAAATGTGCACCTGGCTCTTCTCTGCCACCCCTCCCCCTGTTTTTTTTCTTTTTTTCACACCTCTGGGCTGTGGTTTGGGGAGACAGGAGGGAGGCTTGAAGGTCTGAACCCTGGGCCTAGTCCTTTACAGGAAGAAGGGCCCCTACCAGGCTGGCTGAGGAAGGGGACAATTTCCTCCTCCTTCTGTGTCTGTTGCTTCACAGTCTTCCTCACAGCTCCTCAGAAAGCCCCCTGGAGCTCTGTTCCAAAAGTCCCTGGACTCAGGGCTCCAGCCCCAGGCCATTAGGAATGCAGGCTCAGGCAGGTCAGAGGTCCCTGTGGGGCTCAGGCAGTGGCCCAGGCTGGGAGAGTTTGTTTCAGGAAGGGGTGAGGATGTATCTCAGATAGTGCTAGGATTCTGAGTTTCCTTCTCCCAGCCCTAAAGTTCACAAGGAAAGAAGAGCTCAAGTTGTAAGGAAGCCCTGGGACTGGGGGCTGACTCCTTCTGCCTTTCTTCCTGCAGCTCTGAGGCCTTATTGGGAGGCAAGACCTTCTAAATGCTGAGGCCAGGGGCTAGAACTTACGGAGTCCAGTGGGTAGGAAGAGTGAGCTGCCAGAACTGTAGGGGCACTCACTCTTTCTGGAACCAGAGGCAGCCTCAAAGAGAAGGTGAGGTTTGAGCTGTGTCTTCAAAGATTGCAGCAGTTTGCCAAGAGGAAAAGAGGAGACATGGCAGTTGGGGCAGTAGGAACAGGTGCCAAAGCAAGGAAGTGAGGAAGAGCTTATGCCAAGGATAGTTAGTCTGGTTGGAATGGAAGGGCAAGATGATT